GCAACACTCGCATCTACGGCCGGGGTAGGAGGCAGCCCAGCCCCCATGTCGTCCTCGCCCGCGGCGGCTACACCCGTGTCCGCGGCGGGGGTAGCTTCCAGCCCTACGCCCGTGTCGTCATCGCCCGCTACGGCAACGCCTGCTTCCTCTGCTGCGGTAGTTGCCCCGGTCGTCTTGGGCGCAACACGGTCTGCAACACGGTCCGCCCTCCCGGGATTCACCGGGGCGCGGAAGAGGGTTGGTGTTGGTGCGAGAGCGGCACGTCCCGTTGCTAGCGCGGCTGGACATGTGAGAACTTAGAGAGTATGTGTGTGTGTGGTTTTTTTGTATACGGGCTATGGCAGCCATTCTTGTCATGCCCTCTCCCCCTCTGTCCCCTTGAGCCAAACTTTTATTGTAAAGACGTTGTTTGCAACGTCCGACATGCCTTCCCTTTGGGTGTAGCGGTTGTGTTTTTTTTTTGCGTACGGGCTACGGCAGTAACGGTTGTCATGCCCCCCCCCCTTCGTCCCCACGTTTTCTTGTAAAGACTTTGTTGCACCATCCGACAATGTCTTCTCTTTGGGTGTTGAGTTTTTCTTGTAAACGGTTGTGTTTAATTTTGCGTATTGGCTGCGGCAGCCATGCTTGTCATGCCCTCTCCCCCTCGGTCCCCTTGTGCCCAAGTTTTATTGTCAAGACGTTGTTTGCACCGTCCGACATGCCTTCTCTTTGGGTGATTTTTTTTCCTGTAAACGTTGTGATTTTTTTTGCGGGTGGGCTGCGGCAGAAATGCTTGTCATGCCCCCCCCCCCTTCCCCACGTTATTAGTAAAGACGTTGTTGCACCCTGTTCCCCCGACCCTGTTATGCCGGTTGTTTCGCCTTGCGCGTGTGTGACCAGCATCGTCTGCACGGTCTTGCGCTCATCCACGACATCTGGTAGATGCTTGCAAAGCAGTTGCCCCTGCCGAGTATGGTCAGCCAGGCCTGTACCTGCACCAGCAAGTGCAACAAGGAATGTACACACGGGATATCGCGGTGACATTATAAGCGATGTGATGTGGTTGCGTGTACCGTACGTCGTGTGGAAGCATCTCACGGGCGGGAGGACTGAGCATTGCGCCGTACGCTAGCCAACAGAACGACCGCCAGGTTAGCTTTGCGATGTCGCGCCGGCTGCAGCGCTCTTCTCCTGCGTTATCTCGGACGCCAGTTCATCCCGACGTGACGTCACAACGGTGGTGCTGCAGTTGTACATAGCAGCAGTTGAACCAAAAGTGTACATCATGCTGTTGGTAGATGCACAAAATATCCAAAACCCTAAGTTTAGCTCAGTGGATATGTTTAGTATCTAACAAAAGTATAACCGAGCGTTCGAATCCCTGTGGAAACCATCTTGATGCCTTTTTTCCGGAAAGAGAAAAAAGTCTGTGATACACACCCTGAAAGTCATGGCACACACCGCCAGTCGTCAAGGATGAAAATTCATATCCCCGCCTGTAAGCCGATGAACCGCTTGGGGAAGCGCTGATTAAAGGGATTACAACCCTGGGGGAAAACCAGAGTCAGACAGCCTAACAGCTGTTCTGACCCTGGTTGTACTTTTGTTAGATGTACAACATATCCACTGAGCTAAACAGTCAGCGGACTCTGGCTTTCCCCCAGGGTTGTAATCCCTGTTAGATATGCAACATATCCACTGAGCTAAACAGTCAGCACTGACTGCTTAGCTCAGTGGATATGTTGTATATTTAACAGCTGTACCTACAGACAACACCGACGAAACACTGTCCGGTGAACATATGCTGTTGTGCACGACAGCAGAGCGGCCGGGTGCACTTTTTTCGAGGGTTGGAGAGCACGGCCGGTGGTCACCAACCGCGTCTCGTCAACGACATGCCCAGGAGACGGCATGCAGCTGCGTACACAAATACAAAATGCGCCTGGTTCCTCCGCCTAATGCACTCTACACAACAGCAGCAGCAGCAGTCCCCTCCTTGTTGGTTGTGGACAGAGCATCTGTACTGCTGTACGATTTGAGTAACATGTTTGAGCCCGACTGTGCGAACACGGCCAGCGGTCACCAAGCGAGTCGTGTCGGGCATGCTCCAGAGACGGCATGCAGCTGGCAACAGGAGGAATAGAAATGTGGTCTAGACTACAGCAGTTGTCCCTCCGCTACATATGTTCAACTCTACACCACAGCAGCTCCCCTTCTTGGTTATAGGTCAGAGTCTGCACTCGTGCGAACCAAATATGCCGTCAGCCTACCTTGTGCTCCACTGGGTGGCTTTGCCGACCTGCTGCATCGCAGCCAGAAGTGGTGAACCAGTCCTTGCTCTTCACCAACGCCCCGAGCCGCAGAAAGAAGCTGTAGGGCACGCGGAAGTCAAGGCGAAACTGCTTGGAGGTTATGCTGTTGCTGTCGTCGAGGTCCTTATCCTCCAACATCTGTGCCCAAGCGCATTTTTCCACGTCTTTCCTCTTTCGCTGTCCTCTGAAGAGTTACGGGCGGGGAAGGTCGGGCGCACGATCCTCCTCCTCTTAGAGGTCTTTTTGCGACAAGTCGTTGCGTTGGACCTTATCAAGGGCGGCCAAGGTCACAGCAAGAAGAGCGGTTGCTGGTAGCAGGGCATCACCCACACCGGTTTCGGCCATCGGAAGATAGCCCAGGCTGCTGATGTAGGGTGGAGTCAAGCGAGTGGCACCCCCCCCGCCAGCGAGGAGTGCCAGCGATGGCAGCCAGTTCCACATTGAC